TTGTTACTCTGTTATTGCACCCCTAATCCTTCCCTTTGGTGCTGTTTATTTCGGTCTCGGATGGCTTGTCTTGAGAAATCAGGTAAAATTTGCTTGCACGCATCACTTTTAATTTTTATTTATTTATATGCTCTTACGATCCTACACTTAAGCAATGACCGGGCTTGATCATGAGAATTTCATCAACCTATGTTACTCAGATACCTAATTTCATCTCAAATGTCCATGTTAGATCCACAAGATACAACACCTACCACTGTGTTAAACTAGAGAACCAGAATCTGAGTACCATGATTATACTACAACAATAGTATCAAAACATTGCATGTATAACTTTTACGTAAGAAGATTGCTTATTTACAGTGGATCTCTGACGAGTTTTTTCTTCTTTACGACAGGCACTGAAAGTTTATGTTCCATCATTTGAGAGCTATGGGAGGATGTGGCCTCATATGCATGCACGATTCCTTGCGGCATTAGTCCTTTATCAAGTTACAATGATAGGTTACTTTACACTAAAGTTGTTCTACTTCACTCCCCTGCTCTTTCCACTTCTTATATTTTCCCTAATCTTTGCTGTTGTCTGTAAGAAGAAATTCTATGGCTTTTTCGAACACACAGCTCTTGAAGTTGTATGCCATGAATTGAAGGAAAGTCCCAATGTCGAACGAGTCTATAGATCATTTGTTCCCCCAAGTTTGAGCTCTGATAAGCTAGATGGTGATCATTATGGAGATGCTTAATAAGTTTCGTTGGGGGTGTTTGTTTGATGTACATTTATATTTTCTGGTTTTCCATTTTTTTTTTTTTTTTTTTTTTTTTTGGGTTTTTCATTTCCTCCAGCATAGTTTTTCGAAAGGCATTGATAGAATTGCATTAGAAAGTGTTGATCGTGTATATAGATATTCCCAGAACTTCTGTTTATTATTTGTGATAATTATTTGGATTGATTTGTTGGATTTTTAGCATAAGCAAGTTGACATTCAAGGGTTTGGATGTAGTTTTATAAAAATTTATATAATGAAAATGCTGGTCATGCTATGAAATATATAGATATTGAGAGAAGTCCACTTTTATTTAGTTGACAGATTTGACACTATTCTCTTCTCAAGTTATCATGCTTGTCAACACACTATTTTAACGATTATACAAGTGAATTGTATGACTATTTATGTAAAGGTAATCTATACCAATTTATTAAAAAAGACATTCCTAAGAATGTCCTCGTATCACTTAAACCGCCCATCACTATGCCATGTCACCCACTCAACTCTTCCACAAGTTTTGAACACACAACCACTAATTCTAGAACCAAGTGTCTCACCAACAAGGTATGTGATTTTTTATGCAATCTTTTGAATACAAAATATTAATAGTAACAAATGACAATACGAATAACAAATTTAATTACAAGAAAATTGAATCATAAATTACAATGAATATTAATAATTAGTTCCAAATTATAATCTTGGGCATTGCCCGTACTCAAAAACTAGTTTACTATTACATTGTGCACTATTAACTTAGGGGGTGTCAAGAAAGGTGGCAAATATTAATTACAATGAAGAAAACTAAGGTGTGGACATTCACATATTGACTAATTTGTCTTCCCGACACTTCAATTGATGGGCTATACAAGAATGACATTCATAGTGAAGTCAAAGTGACAAGGCTATAATATTTTACGCAGCACTTTGATGGAAGAACAATTCTGGAAACCTTTTGAAGTTTTACAGCCGAGTAACAAGAATTTTACTAGCCAGATATAAATTCACAATCATATAGAGCTGCAGTGCTAAATCTAGCAACACCGAATCTCACAAACTTGAGATCCCAGTGACTGGAATCCAAGAATCCCCCTTCCCTTGTTATGCTCTCATCTCATTTATAAGCTACTCTTTGATTGCAACTTAAGCAACAATCCTGGTTTACTGGTTTAATAGAAAATTAGGCAAAACTTCTTGCAGTGCTGTCTTCTTTCTATATGAATACCATGTCCTGTCAGGTAGATATATCATGACAATAAGAAATATGAAGCAAACACAATCAGAACCTACTTTTGATGTTGAACAAATAACAATGTATTCAAGTTCCACAGGTTGAGCCATAGGACCGGACCAGGGTTTTTATTTGAACGCACACTAATGAACTAAATTAAACCAGAAGTAATGGTAGATATCAGTAGGAGTACACATCATCTAGAAAAATCAGTAGTGATATACATTATTAATTATCAACCTTGTCGAATTATAAAGGGATATGTGCTCATCTCATGAAAAAAAAAAAGGATTGACCATCATTAAAAACAATACATGCCAGTTTGCCAAATGTGTAGATTAAATAGCAATAATATGTTATTTCTACTTACGAGGTAATCAGAGTATCTTACAGCAGCAATTAGCTAACTTCTACTTTCCATTAGAGTTAATATTAAGGGTTGTGTGTTGTCAAGAATAGAATCAATGGATAATGCCAATACTAACAAGCATGAATTAATATTCTGTTTGCACAAAATATGAAATAATGTATAGACACAAACACCTAAACTAGACAACCAAAACCCACACATTTAATATAACCCATATTCTGGTAACCAACCAGCATAAGCTTCACTATATCAAAATCCATAAGATACTGCTACTTTTTATAGTTTATTTATTTATTTTTTATTTTTTAAATACTACTTTTTATAGTTTATAGTCTCTGCTTCATTAGTTTATAGTTGCCTCAATTGTAGTCATAGGAGTTTGTATTTGTAAGCTGACATACTTACACGGGAATTTTGTGTAGAACTACCCTAAATATAGGGTCATTTGTGAACAATTACCCATTTTTTTTATATGCTTAGAATTACCCACAAGTTTGAAAACATTTGGGTATCACTACCCATTAACATTTTCCGTCCAATTAAGACGTTATCGGAGCTCATTTTTTTCACTTTTATAAAGGTTTTAATCTACTTTAATTAACCTAATTAGGGTTTTAATCATAATTCATTTTAGGGTTCATGAGTGTAGTATTATTTGGAGATTTAATTTCTAAGGTTTGAGGGTATAATTGAATTGGGGTTTTTGATTATTTTAGCATTAATTGACCATTGTAACTGAGAAAAGAGAAAAATTGGCCCGTGTGTAGTGTTACCCAAACTATTCCAAACTTGCAAGTAGTTCTAAATAAAAAAAAAAAAAGGTAGTTGTTCACAAATGACCCTATCTTTAGGGTAGTTCTACACAAAATTTCCTACTTACACACAACAATACAGTAAAAATATATTCATGTGGGGGTCATGCTAATATGCTATATGTCAAGTGTGCTATCCTTTATCATTCTTGGTGATCTGACACTCACATCTGCATGATAATGTCTAAGTCTGCTTAGTGAAGAATTTATCATCTCAATTGCTGCAGATTCCTATCATCCTATGTTCACCTATGAAAAATGATCATTACCCTTTTTTTTTTCCTTAGACATCAATGCGAGGGATGTGTTGGATTTTTTCCCTTAGACATCAATGATCAATCCTCAAAATTGATGTCAGAGCAGCTGATCACAGCTGTATAATGTTTAAACAATTGGGAAAACGTAAACATCTATTAAAATTTTAAAGTACAGGCATAGCTTAATAACATTTCAATTGGTTGAACTCATTATAAATGTTCAGCTTGAATAACAAACACATAGTAATAAACTAATAATGAATAGTCCATTCCAAAAAAAAAAAAAAGAAAAAAAAAAGAAAAAAAAAGGTAATAATGAATAGGCAAAGAATGAAGGTTTTGATGTATGAATGACCAAATACTAAAATTCATAACCGAAATAATATGCATCATTGGCTTATTTGCTATGATTAAGCTCAAGTTTTGAGTTGAAATTTGGAAAGAGTTTGGACATTACCTGACTCCTTAAGTTGTGCATTGATCATTGACCAGAGCCCCAGCAGTGATTTGAATCTGAAGCAAATTAAAAATCAGAATGTAACAGATGTATGTTTGATTCTATTTCTTCCTATAGTGAATTTCATGCTTCAAATTTTGTTGCAACATATTAGTAAATAGGAAATAATAATCCCTATTCTTTTTTTCATACCAGGAAAGGATTCAACATTTATGCGAGGGATGTGTGGGATATGGGGCCAGTCAATGCCAGTATGGCTCTTGCATCTTTTCTTCAATTCCGGGTTACATCCTCTTACATGAAGTTGAGCTAAGGAAGTTAGGTGGCTCATCTCTTTTGGCATTGTTTTCAATTTTGGACAATGATCAATAATCAGGGATTGGAGAGATGATAAGCTATCAATTGATGGTATTAGGCTTTCCAAATTACCACAACCCCTAATGCTTAGGGATTGGAGAGATGATAAGCAATCTATCCCCTTTGGCAACTTCACCGCCTTTGGAAGTCCAAGGAAGGAATCTCCATGGCATCTCTGTGTCACTTCCTTCATTATTAATGAATCCTTCTGCTGTGCTTTTGTTAGTAATGCTGCTGACATCATCTTCATCCTCCAATTCCAACTCAGGAAGGTCTTCCAATGTTAGACTCTCCAGGACAGGCGAATACTCCTACACTCCTCGTCCTGATATACTTATTGAAGAAGTTAGTGCTTGTGTGTGTATGGAGCTGTGTATGCTGCTGTTGTTAATTTCCTGTGTCTTTCCTTTTTTGTCTGTTTGCTCTGTGAGCTGTCATATTCTGTTTTTTTTCCTAGGTTGATTCTAGTAGACAATTGTCATGTTTTTGTAAGGATAGTGAGTCCATATATATTGGAGGGCAGCCTTGTAAGAAAGACAGGATGAATGAAAGAAATACCCTAGAAAATGGGAATGTTCCTCTGCAAACATAGCCGTTTTATTGCTAAAATATTTTCTGTCATTATGGTATCAGAGCCATAGGCTCAAATTTGCCTAAAAATTCTATCTTTCTTTGTTTTTCATATTATCTAAACACAGATCTAGTAGAAGCTAGTATTAGATTTAAGAAAGATTTAATCTTTGAGGAAAATGGTAACAACCATAGATGCTACCAGTCCACTATACCTACACCCTTCAGATGGGAACAATTTCCAGTCAATAGAGAAGTTACAAGGCTCTTCCAACTTCAGGTCATGGAAGAGGTCTATGGAGATAGCCCTGGAATCTAGGAGGAAGCTAGGATTTGTGACTGGAACATTGGTGAAAGATAGCTCAGACACTGTGAAGGCTGAGGCATGGGATACATGTAATAACATGATAATCTCATGGATTCTGGGGTCTGTCTCAGAGTCAATTCGAAAGTCTATTCTGTATGTGAGCAGTGCTTAACAGATCTGGAACCAACTTGAGAAAAGGTTCTCTCTTGTGAATGGATCAAGGAAATACAAACTCAACAAGGAGTTGTATGATACTAAGCAGCAAAGCATGACTATTAGTGAGTATTACACTCAGATGAAGGCAATATGGGAGGAATTAGAGTCACTAAATGTCCTTCCATCTATTGGAGAAGTGAATGCTGAAGTTGCAGCTTTTCTCACAGCGTTGGGAAAGCAGAATGAAGAACAAAAACTCTTCCAGTTTCTCAATGGACTGGATGATGCTCATGGGGCTCAGAGGAGTCAGATTTTGATGATGAAAACTCTCCCATCTGTTGAAACAACATGCAGTTTTCTGGAACAGGAAGAATAACAGAGAATAATTCTCACTCAGCCTAAAGAGGAACCTGAATCTCTTGCTATGTTCAGTAAAGGGATAGGGGGAGCATGCACAGTATGTGGAAAAAAGGGCATTCAAATATTAAATGCTGGGAAGTGATTGGGTATCCACCTGGTCACCCTAAGGTAAAGTCTCACCCACAGAAAGACAGAGGGAAGAGTGGTATTGCAAGTTCTAGGTGGAACAAAGGGAAGCAGCAAGGTAACAAATCTGCTGCAAATGTGCAGAGCAGCAATCAGAGTGAATCTGGAGTCAGCAGTGCTAGCACAAGCAGCCAATTCACTATGCAGCAAATAGAGGCAATGCTCAGGATGATGTAAACAACACTAAAGCAAACTACTCCAGACACTGATGATGAACTGGAAACCTCATATGCAGGTATGGTATCCTGTTATTTTGCTGAATCTATTGCAAATAGCTGGATTATTGATTCTGGTGCATCAGACCATATGACTGAAATTTAGATATTATGGTGAATGTTGTCAAGAATCTAAATGAACTCAAAATTAACTTGCCAAATGGTCAGACTAAAAGTATAAGTCATATTGGGAATGTTAGGCTTGAGAATGGTCTGTCACTTAGGAATGCATTGTATGTTCCATCCTTTAAGCACAATTTGTTGTCTGTGAACAAACTTTTGCAAGATTCAAAGTGTAGAGTACAATTCTATGCTGAATATTGTGTCATTGAAGAGTTACAGTCAAGTGTTGTAAAGGGAATTGGAATGATGAAAAATGGGTTGTACAATCTCAAAAATGATCCAATAGAGAGTGTGATACAGGAGTTGAAAGAAGAAATCATGAGTAGGGCTGAATGCAAAAAGAGTGAGAAAAATGCAATGAGCACCTGCACTTACAACAATGTCCCAAGCATAGTGAGAGATGCTCCTGTCTTGAGTAACAGAACATTGTGGCACTATAGACTAGGGCATGCTCCATATGCAAGGATTCAAAAGATTCATAATCTAAAAGGTGTGAAATCAAGAAGCACAAATGTGTGTTTAACATGTCCTCTGGAAAAATTTACCAAACTTCCATATAGTCTAAGTGATTCAAGGGCAAAAGAGCCATTTGAACTTGTACACTTGGATACATGGGGACCATATAGAGTTCCTGCTAAGGGAAAATACAAGTATTTTCTAACTCTGGTAGATGATTACTCAAGAGTAACTTGGATAAATCTAATTATTCACAAGTCAGATGCATTCAAGGTAATAGAGAATTTTGTCAATACGGCAAAGACTCATCATAACAATAAGGTGAAGGTTATAAGAAGTGATAATGCACCTGAGTTTGATGATCAAAAGTGCAGACCTTTCTTTTACAGATTGGGTATTGCACATCAAACCTCTTGTGTTGATAGACCTGAACAGAATGGAAGGGCAGAGAGAAAGCACAGAAACATACTTAAGATGGCAGGAGCTCTGAGGTTTCAAGCTGGACTTCCATTGAAATTTTGGGGTGACTGTGCTCATGCTGCTGTCTATATAACCAACAGATTGCCCAGTGTGATTCTGAAGGATAAGACCCCTTATGAAGTTCTACATAAGAAGCAACCTCACTATGAACAGATGAGAGCATTTGGGTGTCTTGCATTGGCTTATAATCCAGAGAAGAAAGGTGATAAATTTGATGCCAGAGGGGTGCCATGTTTATTTCTTGGATATCCTCAAAATCAGAAGGGATACAAGCTTATGAATTTGATGAATGAGAAGTGTTTGTGTCAAGAGATGTAAAATTTTATGAGAATATTTACCCATATCACTTACTTCAAAGTGTGATATCAAAAGAACAAGTCCCTGAGAGTGAAAATTTTGTGCAGAAACCATGGATAGATGACTGGGATGAAGGAATAGAAAACCTGAGAGAGAACCTAAGTCCAAACACTAACACCACACAAAATGAGCCTGAATTTAAGCCAAACACAAACACTGAACCTGAACCTAGAAATGAGAAAACAAGTGAGTTTGAGAGTGAACCACCGAACAATATGCCAGTAAGAAAGTCTGGAAGACAGAGTAAACCACCTGTGTGGCATAAAGACTACAAGATGGGAAGTGTGTCCTATGCTGAAGGTGTTAAAGGAGTGGCACAGACTCCTGTCACACCTAAATTTTTTTTTATGATGGCATCTCAGATAAAGGAAGCTGATCCAGTTTATTTCAAGGATGCTGTAAAGCATGTACATTGGCAACAGACCATGAATGAAGAACTTAATGCACTTGAAGACAGCAATACATGGGATATAACTCAGCTACCCAAGGGAGAACATGCTATTGGATGTAAATGGCTGTATACAACCAAATACAATCCAAAAACTGGGAAAATAGAAAGACACAAGTCCAGACTTGTTGTTCTGGGAAATAATCAGAAGTATGGAGTAGACTACAAAGAGACATTTGCACCAGTTGCAAAAATGACTACAGTGAGGTCTCTTTTAGCTGTTGCTGCAAACCAAGGATGGGACATACATCAAATGGATGTAAAAAATGCTTTTCTCCATGGAGAATTAGCATAAACAGTCTATATGAAGCTACCACCAGGTTACCTTGGAAAGGGATTCAGATTTGGAGCAGAGTTTCATGGGAAAGATGAAACTCAGAATGGTAATAGAGTGTGCAAATTGAACAAATCACTCTATGGACTTAAGCAGGCCCCTAGGCAATGGTATGCCAAACTTAGCTCTGCTCTCATCAATTATGGATACAGGCAGTCAAAAACAGATCACACTCTCTTCACTCATCAGAGTACAAAAGGGTTTGTAGCAATCCTAGTATATGTGGATGATCTTATAGTTACTAGGAGTAATTTGGAGTTAATTGTTGAGGAAAAGAAGTATCTTGACACTCAATTCCATATGAAAGATATGGGAGAATTGAGGTATTTCCTGGGAATAGAAGTTGACAGAACTAAAAGAGGAATATTCTTGTCTCAAAAGAAATATGTCAAAGACATACTCAATGAGTACAACCTAAGTGACTGCAAACCTCTTAGGCTCCCTATGGACTGTCATGTGAAGCTAACCCACTCAACTAGAATTCCCTTAGAGCATCCAGAAGTGTATCAGAGACTGGTGGGCAAACTCATTTACCTCACTATAACAAGGCCAGACATTGCTTTTACAGTGCATAACCTGAGCCAATTTATGCACTCTCCTACCTCTGCTCACTTTCAAGCTGCAAAGAGAGTACTAAGATACCTCTCTGGCTCTAGTGATCAAGGAATTTTACTTTCTTCTGATAAAGGTGCAGAACTAAAGGCATACTGTGACAGTGATTGGGGAGGATGTCCAATTACCAGGAGGTCTACCTCAGGCTTCTGTATTCTCTTAGGTGACTCTCCTGTTGGAAATCTAAAAAACAAAGTGTTGTGGCAAAATCAACTGCAGAAGCAGAATACAAGTCAATGGCATTGACTATATGTGAAGTGTTGTGGATAAAACAACTATTCAAGGATCTTGGTATACAGGTGGGAGAAGGAATTCCTATTTACTGTGATAACCAAGCTGCATTGTCTATTGCTGCCAATCCAGTCCAATATGAGAGAACTAAACATATTGAGATTGACTGTCACTTCATTCGAGAGAAGGTGAAGGATGGGTCTGTCAGGCCAACTTATGTTCCAGGGAAGGATCAAATTGTTGATATTTTCACCAAGGTTTTACCTGTGGCTCAACAACAACTACTAAGCAAGCTGGGAGTTCAATCCCTTTCCTCTTCGCTTGAGGGGGAGTATTGAAGAAGTTAGTGCTTGTGTGTGTATGGAGCTGTGTATGCTGCTGTTGTTAATTTCCTATGTCTTTCCTTTTTTGTCTGTTTGCTCTGTGAGCTGTCATATTCTGTTTTTTTCCTAGGTTGATTCTAGTATACAGTTGTCATGTTTTGTAAGGACATTGAGTCCGTATATATTGGAGGGCAACCTTGTAAGAAAGACAGAATGAATGAAAGAAATACCCTAGAAAATGGGAATGTTCCTCTGCAAACATAGCCGTTTTCTTGCTAAAATATTTTCTGTCCTTAATACTCTTCAACTTATTGCATTTATAAATTACAAGGGAGCGAAGAGTGGACATGCGTCCACTTACGAACACCTTCCCCACCTCTCCTATTCTCAATCTCTCCATTTTATGGTTGTTGGCAATCCTAAGATGAGAAAGATGGTGGAAAGATTGAATAGGCAGAGAATTTAGATATCCCAAGTTATCTATCATCACACTCCTCAATCTTCCCTGTCGTCCTTCCTCCTTTTGCTGAGTAGTCTCCAGCTCCCTCATAATTAGACCTAGAGCTTCATTAAAATTGATCAGCACCAATTTTTCTAGATTCGGACAGAATGGAAAAGCTGTCAAATCCAGTCAATCTTGTATTCTAAGGTAAGAAAGCATTTCAACTCGTGATGTCTCACCCTTCCCTAATTCCAGCTTCCACCATCCCTTCAAATTTGGCACATGCCAAAGCTTTAGATTTTCAAGGGATGGAAAGAACACCAACTCTTCATCTTCATCTCCACTAATAATATTACCCTCCTTATACTCCACTCCATGCAAATCATTTAATATAAGTATTTTCAAATGATGCAGTTGACTCATCCATGGAAGATGCTCCAACCTTCTACAGCCACGAATCTGAATTACAACAAGATTTGGGAGACAACTTTTGAGATTCATCATCCAGATTAGGAGCCTCACTCCCGAATAATTCCACAACTCTAACCTTCTAAGATACGAGTTGGGCTGTAGGCTTTGCAGCAATGCTTCAGCATTATCACTTTCATCACTTCCATTATCATCCCGCCAATAATACTTGATTTCTCTTAATCTCTGACTTTTAGATTGAAATCCCTGTTCCCTTGCTTCTACAGCATTGTATCTCACACCTTCTTGAACTGATATTTCCAGAATTTCACTATGCATAGAAAAAATTTCCAGATTTACAAGCTCACCAGTTGACCCACTACACCAAACATTACTTGTTCCACCAACTACAAACCCTGTCAAATTATGTAGATATGTCATTCTATTCATATCTGGAGCCATACAAATCAAAATCGAGCAACCATATATATCTAAGTGCCTAAGATTAACTAATTTCCCTAATTTCATTGGTAACCTTTCTAGTTTCTGACACCAATACAACTTCAATGTTTGCAAGTTATAAATATTAGTGATGGATGAGGGAAACACAAGGAGATATTGATTATGTGAAAGCTCTAGATATCTAAGATGCAATAATTTACCTATTGCACTTAGCAATGTTCTGGTGACAAGATAATTCGCATTGTAGCTTAATGCCCTTAAACATTTCATTTTTGATATCTTCTCGAAAAGATCCACCACATCAAGCACAAATAATGTACATGGTAAATAACCCTCATCAATTAGAAATGTACGTGTTCTTTTCATCTCGATTAAATTATCAGAAAAGAGACCTTTTGAGGTACTTCTATCAAGAAATACATGGTGAGTTTTTTCGGCATTATTTTGTCTCCAATAGTTGCACGACAATATTTCTGTTCCTGCTACATCTTTAGCAAGATCATGAACCAGATCATGCATTTTGCATGATATAGCTTCATCAAGAGTACCTTCAGCTAAGTCTACATCTTGAAAGAAGCACCTTTGCAGCAACTGCTTGAAATAATCCTTACCAGCATCTTCAAAACTCTCTCCATTTGACGGCATAATGAATCCTTGAGCCATCCAAAGATGGATCAAGTCCATTTTGACAATCTTGTAATCCTTGGGGAATACATCACAGTAACTGAAACATTGCTTCAAATGGAATGGAAGATAATTGTAAATGATCTTCAACACAGGTACTATGCCATTGAACTCATCTTGTATTAAGTTTGTCAAGTCAGTATCTTTTAAATTCTCCCACTTACTTTCACCTTGACCTCGAAGAAGGCTTGAAACCACCCTAATGGCAAGTGGAACATTTGCACACTTTCGAACAATCTCTTTTCCAATAATAGCTAATTGCGGCTTCATTGGATAATCCTTTGGTTTGAGTGCCGTTTTCTGAAATAAAGCCAAAGATTCATCATCTGAGAGACCCTTCAATTCCTGCGTCTTACAACTTCCCACAACATCAGTAACCTTTTTAGATCGCGAAGTCACTAAAACTCTGCTACCTATTCCACCTCCAGCCAACAAAGTTTTTATGTTATGCAATTCTTCATAATTCTCATTCCAAACATCATCCAGAACAAGTAGAAACTTATTCCTTTCAAGTACTTGTCGAAGCTTTTTCTGAAGTTGGTCCATTGTTAGGCCATCAGTTGGACCAGCCTGGTTGGTTGCAACTGCAAGAATTTGAGCGGCAAGCAATTTGACATTGAAATCATCAGATACACAAACCCACATCTTCAAAGGAAACTCTTCTCGAATCCTGCCATCATTATAGACAAGTTGCACAAGAGTTGTTTTCCCTAACCCTCCGATCCCAAAAACGGTGACAATAGAAACATTCTCCTCAACAGTAGTGTCTAGTAACATATTAATCAAATTCCTCTTATCATCATCCCTCCCAATAATCACATCATTCTCCATATTCACATAGGAGTGAGTTTACCTCGGGTTATTTCTTACTCACTTGTCCTCGAGAACAACCGAGTGTCTAAAACCACCAGCAAGCTGATGATCTTTGACAACATCATCCAACCTTTCTGTATGGGGAAATATGGAAAATGGGCCGACAGCGCATAAAGGGCCGACATCTTAAATGGGTACGGATCCACAACACCTATGGAACATATCGACATTCATACATAAGGCAGATATGTGGGCTTATAAGTGATCGACACGTGGCAACAACGCTTTGACACATGGCACAGGCAGTTTGCATACCATGCAGCCACCTGTCATTTGGAAAGATTATAAATAGTCAAGCTTAATTCCATAATCAAGGTAGCATTTATTACTCTCTCTCTACTTTCTCTCTCTACATATCTTCTTATCTCTTTCTTAAACACATTCTAACTTTATCATCAGAGTGGTTTTCCCGGATCACCCTGGGGTAAGCTAATCTCTGCTCTCTGTGTAGGTTCTCATCTGGACGACAGGAGCTTCATGGATCTTGGACTCTGGCTTTTGGGTTATCAGATCTTAACCGAAACAATTTGGTGCTAGAAGGAGGGGGTGTTGATTTCTTCTATCGCCTAAAGAACCTCACAAAGATATCCAGAAATCAATTGATAATGGTTGGGAATCAGGAAACTCCTGCAATTAGTAGGATGGTTAATCAAAGGATAATGGTGTTAAACGAAACAGTACAACTAGAGATAGTGGTAGAAGATAAAACCCATACCCTGGAAGAAAACCTATTTCACATGCCGCTAACCCCAGAAGGACAAGCTGGGGCAGTTCCGGACCCAATGGCTGTGTTCACACCTGAAGATTTAGAGGTAGCAGCTAGGGTGATGAACGCAATGAGTAAAAAAAGAAAAGAAGCAGGGGCAACCCAAGTTGGAGGAGGGGTGCCGGTTGCAAACCTTGATAACCAGTTTAATAAGGCAACAAGTTCACAGAGGCGCCAGCAGGAAGAATCGTTGGGAAGGGCGCAACCGACCTCGTTGTAGTCTGAATTTCAGTCCTCAGGCCATGACGCTAGTACAAGGTTCACCGGCAAGGGGGTTCGCAGGTTGTAGGGCACAAGATGGTTAGGACGGTGGTCCAGTTAAGGGCATCACCGTTTGCGCAGAATATCTTGGATCAACCTATGGAGAAGATCAAAATGGCGACATGTAGGTATGATGGAAGGGGAGATCCAAGTAGATATATAACCTCATACGAGGGTGTAGACACCTAAAAATGGCTCCCCATAACCAAACCCGATGATAAACAACCTTTCACCGCCATTATTGGTCGGGTTGAGTATTTAATCTTGGAGTGCTTAAATCCATATTTCCATTTCATAAACCAACCCAATTACTATCCCATTTCCCCAAACCATAACTTATTTTCCTCTTTTCGTGCCTTTAAACCCAAAATAATTCATTTCGTGCCCTTTAAAATCATTCATTTCGTGTCCTTTTTATAAAAACGTTTATCTCAGTTTATTTTGGTCCATAATCTAGGTCCAATTATTAAATATTTTGATGGGGCTTGAAAAGAGATTTCCAAAGATATATTATAATCCCAAATCCGAGTTATAACGAATAAGTTATGACCAAAATATTAAACTGAGTCTAAATCGAACCTAAGCCCACCTTGCCTACGACCCAATGATCATGTGAAGGGTCCAAATTATTTAATCCCATTCCTAAACCAATTAGGATTAATTAGAAGCTTCTATAAGTTTCTAAAATATCTTAATTATCCTTTTTGAAAAGATAAGATTAACGAGTTTGAAATTGAATAAAACTTTTCTTTTTTAAAATCCTATTTATATCCGAATTGAAAGACGTTCAAAGATAGACATATATTATTTTTGTGCATCATAGTTTTTATCTAAATTTTATATGGTTGGATAGCCCTTGAAATTATATTTCCAATGATATATTATAATATCAATTCCGAGCTATAACGGAAAAGATATGAATAAAATGTCAAACTCTATCCAAAACTGACACTGTCTCACTATTTCAGCAATATATTTTATTCTATAAAATATTTTAATCTTATTCCAATTGGTTAGAAAGTAGACTTCAAGATCTTTCCAACAATATCTTATTTATCTTATTTCAATTTCTGGATAAAAAGATATGATAAAAACAAAAATAGCAAAAACTGCTGTCTATCGCAAGAGTTTTATCCGATTCGAATTCTTATCTTGTTTTTTCGACCCTTCTTTTTGCTCTATAAATAGAGGTAATATCTCCCCTTTTTTCAATCATAAACAAGCTTGATCACAAGTTTATTATCTTCTCCCTCTTTATCCCAAACACTAGCCATCCCCATTCTTTCACTATTCCTTCCTTTAAGCACTCCAAGGAGTTCGTACAATACCTAAAGTTCTATACTTAAACCAAGGCGTGAAAAGGTAGAATTAACCGAGGGTTTGGACCAAATCAAATCTATATTTATTCAATTTAATTATTTCAATTTGATTTATATTTTTATTGAAGTTACTAACAATTAATTCATGATGTAGCAATTCAAGGAAACGCGGAAAGTGAGTAATTAATTCACTTAATTACTTTATATTGCTAGTATCATGATTAGATTAATTTATATTTTATTTGACTAATGCTATTATTGTTGAATTGCTTCCAATATTAATGGTTATTCTATTATTATTTATTGATCACCATATTGCATGTTTAAAGGGAATATGTAATTGAAAATCACGCCTAATAAGATAATTTGGACGACCGGTTTATGTTCCTTTTTAATCTAGTCATTAATTCAAGTGATCACTAATATTTTACAATTATGTGTTGCATTAATATTCAACCAATTTTGTAATCCCCCGTATTTTTAAATATTTTATAAATGAAAATTTATTTTATTTATAATATTTATTTGTTATTTTTCATAATTTAATTTCAAAAGTTTCAAATTATTAATCTGGGTCGAAAATTATTTGAACAAATTATTTTATGCACCTTTATTCTACAATTTATGTCCAATCACACAAGCCTAACCCATTAGTTTACTTAATCGACCCATTATTTTTACGAGGCCCAATCTTTCTTTTTACCCTGCAATAATTGTCTGCTATAAATACCCCATGAATCTCCAAAAATTTTCCACACAAAAAGGTTAGTCTTATTTTCATCCTCCTTTGTTTCATAATTTTACTTAATGTTAATTTAATTGTTTTGGATTTTGATTTTAGTATAAAGATTATATTTTTAGTATCAAATTATATTTTAATGGTATAAAGATTATAAATTTCAGATTATATTTATGTTATAAATTTCATATTTTATGAATTATAAACCTAGGGTTTCAATTTATTGAAAATCATGATTTTAGGGCTTTTATGAACAATTGATTTAGGGCTTTTATAGTAATGATGTTTTGAAATTTTGGTGATTATAACTACTTATTATTTTAACTTAATTCCAGATTATTTTGAACACATAGATTCGTGTTTTAATTTTTAGATTTTCGTTCGTTAATATTAATCCCGTTTTAATCCCGATCAGATTCTGAACTCATCCGATTTTGATACAAAAGTAGTTTTCCATGTGGAAACAACGTTTTAAGAAGTTTTTTTTATACTTAAAATATTATCCTTGAGTTTGATTAATAAAATTAATTATGTTTAAATTTAATTAAGCATAAATATATGTTTTTATTGAAGTTTTAAGTGTTGGAAATAGTTTCTAAGTACTACTTTTGATGTTTTATAAAGAGGGTTTAATCACTCATTAAAAAGGGAGATTTTTAGGGGTTTTTATATAATTTTCAGATTTTTATTAGATTTTGAAATTGCTGTAATTTCATGTATAAGAGTGTATTTTAAGGTTTTTATGAAGAAAATTTAAAGAACTATATATAAGCCTTTAATTTTAACTAAAGGGAAGATTTTAAAGTGTTGTTTGATTTGGATTTTGAAGGTTTTAAAGTAAGTTAGTATTGCTGTAAATTTGATTGATTGGGTATTGATTTAGATGTTATTATTTGGCTAAGGAGAGGAGTTTATTGAAGGTGATTTCTAGTTAGTAAAGTGGCATACCAATTCGTTTGCTCAAGGTACGTACAAGTTAAGAAACCTTTCTTTTAGGTGCATGTTTAAGGACGACAGATCGAGAACTTAGTATCATGTATAGGGATGACTGAGTTAAATTGTTTGGTTATACATTGTGAATTTCGTATGACGTGCACTATTTTATATTTCAAGTATTATTTGTGCTCTAATTATGCAAGGTGCGCTTAGACGCAAAGGTATATGATTGGTGTAATGATTAATTTATTACTCATTCATGATTATGCAAGCAGGATGAGTAAAGGAAGAATTTAAGTCTTCTAAGACGAGGTTAAGGTTTTGGGGTGCCTTATGCACTCAAGGTGTTTATACACCGAGGTAGTAAAGGAATAAATAATAAATGTTGCTTGCCACTAATAAATCAAGAATTGAAATTGAAAAGTTGTTTTACTTGGTTGAATTGATATTGGATTGATTGTATTGTTATGAATATGAGTCATCACCAAGTCTAAACCTGTAAATCACGTAAAGTGCAAGATGGAAGAGCAATAAAACTCTGGATTGGTGCACTTCTGGAGTAATGACAATCAGGGGTTGGGGTACATGGGGTATTAGCCGTGTACTTTTCTCGAGGCCGTCTGATCTACGAGTCTCTTATTTCAAATATTTTTCAAAACTAGGAGTTAGGTGAGATCTCATACTAACTACGGTCACGGAGTCGCGCCCGTGGTCGTTGGATGTTTATTGATGTTTCCAAAAGGAGGCACGGGGTTTTTCTTTTATTGATGTTCCAAATGGAGCATGGGTTGGACAACCTTGTCTATTGCGTAATCTAATGAATAAAAATAATGATTTACCTATTATTAATTAATGGAGTCTTAGTAATATAAATAGTTGAGTCGTGTGTTGAGTCTATAATTTAATGATGCATGATGATTGATTATTAGTAGCATGT